GCTGCACCATCAGGGAGGGCCCCCAACTGTCTGTTTTTAAGATGTGATAAACTTCAATAATCATAGCAATGTGATATTGGCAAAGGAATAGATATGTTGATCAATGGTGCATAATTAGGTGTTAAGAAATAGACCTACACAAATATGACAAACTGACATTTTTGCAAAAGGGCCAAGAAAATTCAGTTAGGGAACTGGTAAATGAACAGACATTTCAGCAAAGAAGAGATTACAGATGTCAAACAAGCAAATGAAAAGGTGTTTAAAATGATAGGCCATTAGGAAAATGCAAACTAAACTCACAATGGGAAATCAAACCTATCAGAGCAATAATAAAAAATAGTGAAAATCCTATATGCTGGCAAGGTATAGTGTAAACTGTAGAGAAACTGGATATCATACACTGCTGGTAGGCTTGTAAAATGGTACAGTCATTCTGGAAAATAGTTCAGCAGTTTCTTATAAAATAGAATGTGTACTCACCATACAACACAACAATTGCACTCTTGTGCTTTTATCCCAGAGAAATGAAAACTTACATTTATACAAAAATCTATACACAATGTTTACAGATGTGCTATTCATTATCACCCAAAACTGGAAAAAGTCTAAATGTCCTTCAGTGGGTGAATGGATAATCACCTGACAGTACCTCCATATGAAGGAGCTTTTCTCACCCATACAAAAAAAAAAAGGCCTCTTAGGAGTGATATAAGAATCTGACTACAAAAAGTCCATGCAAGAGTATTTTGTGATGACAGAACATCTCTGCCATCTGACTGTGGTACAGGTCACACGAATCTGGGCATATTTGTGTTTAAAACTCATAGCACTGCACACCAGAAAAGTCAGTTTTTTTCTACCTCAATTTGAAGTAAAATAGAAATTAAAAAATAGCAACTGGAAAAAAATACAAGCAGAATTAAGCTTGAATGATAAAGATATAAAACAGAAAGTGAAAGTCCAAGGTAAGATTATAGTACACACTTTGGGGGACCGTCTCTCTTTTCCATAAGTTTTTACTATCAGTGATTAATGTCCTACGTTATCATTTTAAGGGGCT